AGCAATAGTTAACAGATTCAGGACTTGAAAGGCCATTTGGGATTGGCATGTAATACTTTCTCAAGACAAAACTGCACATAAGTGAAGAAAAAAAGAGATGTGAGGAAGCCCTCACAGGAATAAAGAAGGTTCTGCATTTTACACCATATTCCTCATAGGGAATGAAGGATGTCAATTCATGTATTCGTGACGTGTATTCAAACTTTTACAGTATTGTATTATTTTGCTTTTATGCTGAAGATGGAGACATTGACTTGATGTCTTCAAGGTATTGAATTAGTATGAATTTTATGTGATTCTAGAGAAATTGCTAAGATATTGAAAATTACAAACATTTTTGCCAAATAAATCTTATGATCATATAAAGGTTAGCTATTAGTGCTCATTTGTAGGGTGTTTATTTATTTATTCTTTTTTGACTTTTTGCAGAGTTTTTGAGCCCTAATCTAGCAGGGAAAACAATAATATTCTTGATGTTGTCCTTGACCAAGGCAGCTGTCTGGATAAGACAACTGCATGGTCTTCATTTCTGTGGCAATATGGAAATTTTTGGTTATCTCAGGTTTTCTTTAGTACATATGAAAGTATCTAAATCATTCTCTCTCAGAGAAGGTATAGGAATAGAAAGAAATGGCGAGTGTATTGTGAAAACTGCAACCCATATCTCTGTCCGGGGAAGCTGTTTAGCAGAGATAATTTTAAGTTCAAAGAAAATGATTCATTCAAATTAGTTGCATTTCACTATTGTTCATATATCTAAAGTGTAAGAATCACATTTAATACTGTTTCTTTCTTAACAATTTAGACTTAAATTTCTTCTCTTTCTTCCATATACTCTTTTACCCTTTCCCCATAAAGTCAGAGCTTGTTTCCATGTTAGCTTTATCTCTCAAAAAAATATTTCTTTGAAATTACTCAAGAAATTTATAATACTTTGTACGTCTTTCAACTTCAATCTGTAACAATACTCAAGAAATTTATACTGTGTACATCTTTCAGCTTGAATATGTAACAAAAAGATTTGTTTCCTTAATAACTTTACTTGTGTGTAACTAATTCTGACATCAGTACAACTGTCATATGATAATTTCAGTAAATGTTTGGGGACCAGTAAGGGTATGCTAGGCCTCTGGGAACCCCAGTGGTACCAAATGGAGTCATTACCTATCATCCAAATGTCAGTAATTAATTGGACATTAACTCATGATGTATATTGTTCACACATTTTCCTGCCAAAAATGTTATCTAATCTAGATAATAGGGATATTGTTGTTTTGATGATTCCTGGTAGTATTCCTATAATTCTTCAAACCAATTTTAATGTCCCTTTTTTAGTTTTATGTTTTTAAATTCTATAACTGTGAGCCTTTGTAAATAGGAGAATTTTCAGCTTAAGACAAATTATTATCCAGAGAAAATTCAATTATACAATTTAGCATTTGATTTAAACAATTTTGAAAATGTTTGGATAGCCTTGATAAGTATTTTCAGGGCTAGACCAACCCAAAGGTCATTTTATTGACTAGTATCATATAATCCAACAAATACTTTCCTATAAAAAATTAGTGATAACAGCAATATGTAATATCCTTGAATCTTAATTTCCATGGAGTCCCTAAAATCAGTGACTAGGATTTTCATTTCTTCCCATTGCTAAAGATCACATTTAGACACAAAGAATTTATATTCATTAAACATATCCCAAGTACATCTATTTAAATTACTGTCTTAAATATTCATAAGTTTCTGCAGCTTTATAACCTTAAGAGAGTATTCTTTCTCCTCATTTGATTTATAATCTCTGATGGTTCTCAAGCTGCTAATTCTATTCAGTTCTTTACTTTCAACTTACATTTAAGGAACAAATAAATTATTTGTTGCTTGGCATTCATAAAATGTTGCTTAATTTGATAGGTGTAGAATCTTTTAGTTGTATTAAGTTGGTAAGTTATTTAGCCATAAAAGTGATCCATGCAGTCTGACTTCATATATTATGATAGTTTATTAAGTCACTACTGAAAAATTAAGTAAAATCTGTATTCAGGATAGTTTACTTTGAATATCTTTTAACCCTAATTTTATTGCCATTTGTTTAAGCCTCGTAAATAGAAGTAATACAGATTTAAAATGAGTAAGGACTACTTGGGAAAAAAAGGAGAGACTATTTCTCAATACTAAGACCATTGCATGTTAGTACTTGAAAGTGGGTATATCTTTGTTATACTTGTTATAACTAAGACAAGATAGCATTTGATACAAGATTGTTATATCATTATATTATGTTTATATTTGGTGAGACAACATAGAGAAGGCACTACAGGCCTGGGTTAGTAAAGCTGGAGTGCATTTCCTGGTTTGAACCCTTATCAGCAACGTAACTGTAGACCATTAATTTCCTGAGCCACAATTTCCCTAGCCATCAGAATTAGAGCTAAATATGTTAATTTAGGCTGATTAAGCCTACTCACTTGAAATAACATTTTAATTACTCACTTAATGCATATGAAAGCAGATTACTATTAATTAAAAGGTACGTATATACATTTCCTTTCATATATGAACTCTAGAGCATATTAAAAGTAGATGACAAGAATCAGATCGAATAAGTAAGCATGTTGGCCCTCACTCCTAAAATGCCTCCTTCACAGAATAACATCTCCTGCCATTTTAAGATAATAACTGACTACTTGTATTGAGAGCATCATTAATACTAAAATGTGTCCTTAAAAAGTTTAATGCAGCAACAAATTTTACCTCCATTATTTGATTTTTAGTGGTGTTTTAATACCATTAGAATCTCCCTTTGAGCTTTCAACATTTTAACTTTGACACAAATGCGATGGCTTTTCCTGTCTATTTCAACCTAGATTTGACCAATAAAATATTAGTTGGATTTCCTTCTACACAGTTTTTCCTTTCTGATTTATAGAGCTTATAAATATGAATTTATCTTTGTTATACTTGTTATAACTAAGACAAGATAGCATTTGATACAAGATTGTTATATCATTATATTATGTTTATATTTGGTGAGACAACATAGAGAAGGCACTACAGGCCTGGGTTAGTAAAGCTGGAGTGCATTTCCTGGCTTGAACCCTTATCAGCAACGTAACTGTAGACCATTAATTTCCTGAGCCACAATTTCCCTAGCCATCAGAATTAGAGCTAAATATGTTAATTTAGGCTGATTAAGCCTACTCACTTGAAATAACATTTTAATTACTCACTTAATGCATATGAAAGCAGATTACTATTAATTAAAAGGTACGTATATACATTTCCTTTCATATATGAACTCTAGAGCATATTAAAAGTAGATGACAAGAATCAGATCGAATAAGTAAGCATGTTGGCCCTCACTCCTAAAATGCCTCCTTCACAGAATAACATCTCCTGCCATTTTAAGATAATAACTGACTACTTGTATTGAGAGCATCATTAATACTAAAATGTGTCCTTAAAAAGTTTAATGCAGCAACAAATTTTACCTCCATTATTTGATTTTTAGTGGTGTTTTAATACCATTAGAATCTCCCTTTGAGCTTTCAACATTTTAACTTTGACACAAATGCGATGGCTTTTCCTGTCTATTTCAACCTAGATTTGACCAATAAAATATTAGTTGGATTTCCTTCTACACAGTTTTTCCTTTCTGATTTATAGAGCTTATAAATATGAATGAAAGCTTCTTCAGAATTAATATACTTGGAATCCTAGCCACACCTCTTTTTTTGTCTGATTGTAAAAGTCCAACACCTTTATTTATACAGCATTTTCACAGAAAAAAAATCAGCCTTTAAAATAAATCAAAACAACATGCAGAAAGAGAACACATATATTTTTATGTAGTTTAAGTATCTTTTTTTCATGGATAAATAATTACTTTGGTAACTCATTGAGGAGATACAAAATATGAATGTAGGTCTTTGATTTTTTTATTTGCAATCTCACTTTCTTTTATTGTGTCTGAATACTCATATGTATACAAAAATATGCACAAAATACACACCCATTTTTTCCTGAATGAATAAATGATTGCATATTTTCTAAACTCTAGTAATTGATGTTATCTGACAATTGAATAAAGACCAGTGGTCATAACTTTAAAGAATAGTTCCTGCTTACCGAAAGCATGGATTTTTACATTGCAGTATAAATATTGTATATGTTGACTGAATGAGTGAAACAGCATGGATTATATACATTTCAGTTTTGATATGCTTAATTTCAAACACTCTGGATTTTCTTTCTATATTTCATTTTTTTCCATATTCTTTCTATAATTTATATCATGAGATTACTAAATCTGTTTCTGTACAAATACATTTTTTAAGATGGTGTCCCAAGATCATTTACAAAATCAAAATTAGAATAGTTAACATTTGCAGTCTAATTGGACAGAATTGAAAGTTATAATGTATTCATGTATATATTCATGAGTCAAATATTTACCTACCACCAATTTTTATTTTTATTTTTTTCTAATTACCTAGTGCTGTAGGTGTCATACTGAATGTAAAAGAGAAAAGTCTACTGTTCTCATTGATCTTACACTCTAGTGGAGGCAAAAATGTTATAATAAGAAATAACACTGTAAAGAAATATAAGTGTAAATTTGCTATTCTAATCCATGCTATGAAGCACAGTACATAGTGCAATGTTCAGAGAGAACACAGAAGGCTTCTTGAAGGAAATGATGTTTGAAATATGAAAAACGGAAACAAATTAGTCAAGGAAGTTAGAGAAGAGCATTTCAGACAGAGCAGAATTTACAAAAAGTATTTTGATAGGATTTTTAATACATTCCCATGATTTCTATAAATGACTAAATATTTTTTATAATAAAAAATAAATTGCAAACATAAACACAGAGGTATATTAATATCTAAAATGTATTATTTTTGTTCTGTTGGTATAAATGTGACTGCTTTAGTATTTTTAATAATTTTTTTTGGTGTTTATCTATATATTATTACAAATCAACAATTTAATTTCAGCTATTTGTTCTGGACTGAATGGGGACAGATGCCCTGCATTGGGAAGGCTCGCTTAGATGGCTCAGAGAAGGTTGTCCTTGTAAGCATGGGAGTAGCATGGCCGAATGGTATCTCCATCGACTATGAGGTCTGTCGAATTTATTTTTTAAGCATTTAAAGTGTGTTTACTACCAACTTGCATTAGTCCACTCTTAGTGTTCTCTTATTTTCTTAATAAAACACATAATCAAAACCAGCTTGTAATACTACTTTTCAATCCATCTTTAGGAAAATACATTGTACTGGTGTGATGCTCGAACAGACAGGATAGAAAGAATCGACCTTGAGACAGGAGGAAATCGTGAGATGGTGCTGTCAGGGGGCAATGTGGATATGTTTTCAGTTTCAGTCTTTGGGGCTTACATCTACTGGTCTGACAGGTAATTTATTTTTTCAAAAGTGTTTGAGTCTCAAAATGTTATTTCAGTCCCAGTTGCTTTACCTTTGCAGGATTAGCCATTCCTTAGCAAGGTCACAAAAAAGATCTCTCCAAGCCATGTAATTTCCCAGGGAGGCAGGCACTCTTTCGATTCCAAGCTCAGGAGTTTCAATGACAGAGTGAAGTTGGTTTATTTCCCTTCTGCTGGGCCATCTGTTTCTTCAGTTTAAATAACTGGCTTGATTTGAATTAGTTAAAGATTGCTGATCATGTATGTTCAACTTTATGGCAGAGCACATGCCAACGGATCCATCAGAAGAGGCCCCAAGAATGATGCCACAGAAACCGTAACCATGAGAACAGGTCTTGGAGTCAACCTGAAGGAGGTTAAAATCTTTAACCGAGTAAGAGAGAAAGGTCAGCATTCATATAATAAATGCAGTTTATGTTATTTCTTGCCTTTTCTTTAAATAACATTTATCAAACTTAAATTAGGGATTAATTCTTTTATGACTCTAAAACCTCAAAACTCTATTTTTTATACATCTAACTTTCTACAAAAATCCAATAATGGCCAATGAAATGAATATATAATTGTTCATATCTAGATATATTTGCCTAGGACCATAAAAGAATATGAACATATTACATAACTGGAACATCTTCAGTGTAGTTTTGGGCTAAGTAATATAGAAAATCTTGATTAAATTTAAAAAAATATATATATATGTATATATACATACACACAACAAAAATTATAAATCACAATTAGGATATTAGGGAGTAAAAAAGAGACAATATGTTTGTTTGGATTATATCTTACTATACAGTGACTATAGCTCCAGAAGGTTGTTTTGGTGTGAAATATGTTCAAAGTCATCACTTCCTTAAAATATATATTTTGAAACTAATGTGACAGTGATTTGGATTTTTTAAAATTAATTACCTCCATTAAAATTACAATTGGAGTAAATTATAATTAATTTCCTTGACACTAAACACATGTAAAATAATTTTGGATTCATAGAGGAGAATTAGCCTGAAGAGAAATCATGATAGCATATCACATCTTCCTTCAAAACTATAGTAAAAAACTTCTAATGTCCAGTATGCTTTGAAGGTTAGGTACGTTGAAGTCATCAGTCTTTCTGATATTTTTTGTATTTTTATAGAAAGATTTTAAAATAGTGCATGTTTTCTTCATGAATTTAGTTCATGTTTTGAGTGAATAAGTTACTGTGCCAAAGATTATAGTACATAAAACCTATTGTCATATGTTTGAAACTTCAAAAAAGAGTTGTACCCTTAACTGGCTGATTCAGGGAAAATTTTAATGCTCTTGTTTGGATAGTGAGGGAAATGGAAGAATGTGATATTTTAAATGAGAAATCCAAGATTTTAAACTGGTGTGATTTAAAAATTAATATTTCACTCGTTTGATATTTTTTACCAAGTCTAGAAATTAAGATAAGAAACCAGGATATTCAACATTAAATATTCAACATTTCTGTAAGAAAAGAAACATTTGAAAATAAAAGAAAAACTACAGATGTGTGTGTGTATCTTTATCTTCTTCTCCTCCTCAGGGACCAATGTTTGTGCCAAGGACAATGGTGGATGTCAGCAACTCTGTCTTTACCGGGGAAATTCCCGGAGAACTTGCACTTGTGCCCATGGATATTTGGCAGAGGATGGAGTTACTTGCCTAAGGCATGAAGGCTATTTGCTATATTCCGGGAGAACAATATTAAAAAGTATACATCTTTCTGATGAAAACAATTTAAATTCACCAATAAGGCCATATGAGAATCCACATTATTTCAAGAATGTCATAGCCTTGGCTTTTGATTATAACCAAAGAAGAAAAGGCACCAACCGGATCTTTTATAGCGATGCACACTTTGGAAACATACAGCTTATTAAAGATAACTGGGAAGACAGACAAATAATTGTTGAAAGTAAGTACAACAATTTTTTTTAATAATTTGGTAGAAATGAGCTTCATTTGGATGGGTAAAGAAATTACAGTGGTAATTGCATGTAGCAATTACAGTTTCTTAGAGTTTGTATTCAAGAATAAATACAGCTATATTATCTGGACCCCCAAAGTCAAAGAAGCAATTAACTGCTAGCATGTGAAGAATGCAAATTATGATTATTAGCTTCTAATATTGGAACTTTCAATTTGTTCCTTTATAATGTTTCTTATAAATAAGTATATTAAAATTCATGGAAAATAATTTTTCAATATAAAGCTATACTAATTTTATTTTCTTTCAGTGGGTATAATTATGTATTTAAGAATATCCTACTTAATTATATTCAGTGAATAGTATTTTCTCAAACTCAGAGACTTTATTTTTATATATAGAGAGCAGTCTTGATAGGAAAATATTATCAGAAATTTAATCTAATATTTTAAAATATTTTATAGGACATAATCAACAAACATAATTTTGTATGGATTCTCCATATAATACAGAGAAACTTCTCTCCTATCAGCCAACTTTTAAAAGGATTTTCTTTATACTCTTCATATAACTTCTTTCTTTTCTCTATCTCTATGTGATTTCCATATATCATCCACTTTTCCAATTTCACTATGTTGAGGTCAGTATTTTTCATTACTTTTTAAATTGCAAAATGATATATAAATTTATTTTAAATATTCAAGTAATACGATTTTAAAAATAAAATTTCTGCCTCTCACTGCATCCATACCATTAATTTAACCTTGATTGACAGCTGTTATGCCTATGTAATTTTCTTTATGTATGTGTGTCATTTGTAATTACAAAAATGGAATGATCTTATGTGCATTATTCAGCTGCTTTTTTTTTCACTTGCCAAATATCTTGAAAAGCTTTTATTTCAGTACCTAAGACTCTGTCCTATTCTTTTGAAAGCCTATACCTAACTCCATACTAAAGGTAAACTATTTCATTTAACCATTTTATTAGTTATAAGCATTTAGGTTGTTTCTGGTATCTCATCATTACCTACAATATCCCAATGAACATTTGTGCATATAAATATGTTTATTCATACATGTGAATATATTTCATTATAGCAGAATCCTAGAAACAGAATTGCAAAATCAGTCAGTGTTTATTTTTTTATAGCTGGTCAAATTTCAATCCAAAAAGACTATATCAGTTTGTGTTTTCAATGTTCTATGAAAAGGCCTATTTTCTCACACTCTTGCTAACAGTGATTTTATAATTTTTATTAGCTTTTTACTATCTAATACATAAACAAGCCAAGTTATGTTAAAATATGTTTACCTAATGCCTAGTGAAATGAAACATCTACTTGTATATTTGCTTATATAAAAAAATGTATATTTTAGGTCAACCTTCATATTGTACATTGCCATCTCATGCTGTGCTTACCACTGTTCATTTTGTTCTTTCAACATTTAATCTCCTTCACAATTCTCTTTGCCTATTCAAATCCTACTCAACTTTTCCAAATTAGTTCAAGCATAGTGTAACTCCAGGGGGAAAATCCCAGGGCAAAATACCTTTGAAACTGAAATCATTCCAAGGGAGAAATAAAATGGGAGAAACCCATTTATTTCTTGCAAGCAGTCCACTTCAGCTCCGCTGTGTCTCTAGCGACCTGGCTGCAGAAGAAGAGGCCCCACCCAACCTCTCCAGTCTAGATAAGCCCTTGCTCACCCTTGTGATTACCTATTGATATGGAGATAAACTACTTCTCTCCACCCCTTGGAAATACCTATTGATATCGAGATGTACTAAGGCCAGGTGAGGGATTCTGGAAATATTGCAATTTTGATAATCTACCTCCTTTCTTTATTCTCTATATTACCATGCTTACTGATAACTTTGTCCCAATTTGTGTATTTCTGAATATGCCATTTTAACTCATGTGTGTTTGTGTGAAAATGCAACTGTAACTGCACCAGTCACAGAGTTCATATATATCTGAGATTTGTTGTTTTCTGGCTATATCTCTTGGAAGCTTATATTACAATACTCTTTGGTCCTCCATTTTCCTAGATGGATAATAATTCAGAGTTGGAAGTGCTCACATTGTATCCACAGTATATTAATAAACATTCATTTTTCTGTGCTCTAGATTGTTTGTGTTCAGGCATCCTTGATGTAAACATGAATATGTGTTCCAGAGATCTTTAGAAACCACAGATTAAGAAGAACACTGCAAGGAAACAAACACTGAAATTCAGTAGAAGCCACAAGATACTAAAGGCCAGGAGAATTAAAAATCAGCTGAGAGAAGGGTGGAAGATGCTGCTGAGCTAAATTTAGGATATTTAAAGGATAAATAGGAATCTGTTAGTTACTTGGGGCAAGCAGAGGAGGAAAAGTGGAGAAAGAGTAATTCTAGACCTGTGGTCTGAAGTGTGGTTCTCTGGGGTATCCCCAATACATGTTCAAGGAGTCTAAGAGAGCAAATTCATTTC